AATTATTGCTGCCGAAATGCTTCTTATTTCAATTCTCTCTCTCTCTCTCTCTCTCTCTCTCTCTCTCTCTCTCTCTCTATCTATCTATCTATCTATCTATCTATATATATATATATATATATATATATTTGAATAAACACAATGTTATGCTCATTTTTTGTCAGGACCAAGCAAACCTTTGGCCAGCTCATCTTCAGGGATCGATCTTTGGCACAATTGAAGTAATTAAACGGCAAATATGCAGGAAAATACTTGCAGATAAAGCTGGATATATATATATATATATATATATATATATATATATATATATATATATATATATATATAGTCTTTTTACCACCTCTGGTTAGCTCCCTTACATTGTGCATGCTTGTTTACAAAAAATGGATAAATTTAAAATTTTAAAATGATTATAACAGAGCGCGTTCATGCGTGTTTACAAAAATCACAATCACAACGAACACAGTTAAATTAAGTTTTTCTTCGCAATTCTCCCCTGTGAATGATCCCGGAGGAGATCGAAAGTACTTGGGTTAACAAAAACTACAATGAATTCCTTGATGAATTTCAACTTAACATCAAGAAGGTAATTAGAGAACTAGAAAGGATTATTATAAAAATAAGTAGACATAATATCTCTATATTATTCAATGAAATATGCTCAAATGAAGAAATGCTTCCCTAGGCGTTAAAATTGTATTGTTCGGGGAAGCATCCACATGGGTGTATCTCCAAAAAATTTTCAGTTTTTAGGAAAAGGCTAAGTTGAACTTCCTGCTTACAGTTGGAATACGGAGAAAATGAGAGTGGAAGTTGCAAATTCTTTCTTTTAGCAAAAGAGTATCGCTATTCAAAACATTTAGGGAGACCTGATTTCGTAGATCATAGATTTAATTCTTTTAGCTCATATAGAAGTAAATCATGTATAAAAATGATTTATAATATGAAATATTCATTTACCTCTATTTCTGAGATGGGGTATTGTAACTATTTGCCCTATTTACATTATTCGGACTGTAGTCCTATGTTTATTGTCATATTCACTACATTTCGGCCGTTGTGCGCTCCAGCCTTCTTCAGGTGATATATGTTAGTACTTAGAACTGGAACCTTTATTTCGTCCACCGGGGTAGATTGTTCTAGTTCTAGTTCTCAGTTTCAGTAATTTTTCTTTAGTAACTCAACTCTGAAATGTTTGGATTTAATAATGAGGAAGGAAGGCTTGCAGATGTTAATACTCATGGGGAACCTCAGAGAATAACCTTCTTGACAGCTTTGAGCAAATAAATGGAACAGCAAAATACTAAAAAAGGAAATAAGAGTCGTAAAGGAGAAAATATCACTGAAATAAATTAAATAAAGGAAGTTATGGTGAGTCATGATCGTCCACCTTCTGAATGGGGATATTTTTCTTTTTTAATACTTCAGGACGTAGATGAACATGGCTCTCCACAGCTTCCTCTTCTTTTTTTATTATTTAAGTGACATGACACATTGGTAAAGATAATGGTATGGTTTCCTATTAACTTCTCCACGGTTTTCAATTTAGGACTGTCCTACTTCTAGACTGACTACCATCCAGGGCTAAATAATCCGGTGTACCCTGTTTAATGCAATTATGGAAGAAAAGATGAACTAATGTCTTTCCCAAAATAATTGGTGACTACAAACCAGGATACATGTATGAAACTATAAAAATACATAAACCTTACTTCCCTCTCCATCATATCATATCCCAAATCCCCACATCGGTTTTTCAATTAACCAAAATCATTAACCAACTCATTACACCATATATACCTAGTAAATGCAGCATTAAATCAACTCACGAACTAATCCAAAACTTAAAACAATAAAAACCTAATAATGAAACCATAGCCTCACTTAACGTTGAAACTTTATTCACCAACGTCCCAATTAGAGAAACGATTGACACAATTATAAGGAATATTTACAACAATCCCTTCCTCCCCCCCCATTAAAAATTAAACCTATTATGGAAACTGCTATTGATTTGCACTACTGAGGTTCCCTTGTATGACAATCAAAATAATATACAGGGTGTCCCCACCAAAATTGACATCATTTTAAAAGCAATTATCTTGAAAACTACTAAGCCTAGCTCAATGAAAATGAACAGTTTGTGTTGAACATCATAAGTTTATAATGGGACCAATTTAATAAGTGTTCAATATGTGAACGGCATAACTTCAAGTCGTTAGTTAAGCTCTTGCCAAACCCGCTGATATTGATGATGGTCTACCAGATCCTTTAGACCTGCATAAGCAGCCTTACTCTTTAAAATTTTGGTATCAAATCCAAATTTGTTTGCCAGTTGGTGAAGTTTTTGCAAATTTTGCATTGAAGGCACGCTGCAAAGTCTTGGGTAACTGTGTGTGAGCAGATTCCAAGATGCATATTCCAAGATGCATATTCCAAAATGCATATCCCAAGACGCAAAGTGACTTAAAAACACAGAAGAAATACATAAACTACAAAAAACTTCCAACAAACTCCGTTCTTAAGTTCAATATAAACTTAAAAATAACAATAAATTTCTTTTCTTGAAATATTGATAGACACTAATAATAATACGTTTACTACCTCTCCATATAAAAAAAATAAACACGTGCACTCTCAACAATAAAAGTAAATGTCATGACTATTACAAAACAGTGATTATACAAAATTTAATAAACCGTACGAAAGTTAACTCTTCCACGAAAAAAAGATTTCCACACGGAATAAAAAAAAACATTAAACAAACTCTCATTAATAATGACTTTCCTGATTACATTGTTGATGAACAAATTAGAAGAGCTATTAGAAATATTACCATAAATAAAAAAGAACATAATATTTCCTCAAATAACCCTAAACAAATCAACCTACGATACCGCAATCAAATGCACTCTAACTACAGACAACATGAAAAAATCCTAAAAAAAATACTCGTAAGTACTAATATACCCCCACCGATCCCAGTAACAAAAATAAAACTAATTATATACTATACTAATTTTAGTACAACCAACTTAATCTTAAACAATAACGCTTCTTCGTCAACTGATGTTTTGCAATAGACCAACGTTGTATATCAATTTAAATGTCCCTTGAGAGATTGTATCTCTGACAAAAACGTAAATATATAAATACATATATAATGGTTTCACAACGGCAACACTATCAAGAAGGCTTAGTTTATACATGTCGGATTCAAGTTCTACTGCATAACATTTAAAAGAATATTTTTGTCCACATTCACGTTTAAAGAAGTATTAATTTACAATACAAGTATACTCCACAACGAAAATAAAAAGCAAAAAACTTCAAATTTTCGAAGCGCTTTATCTATATATAAATAAAACCAACACTAAACAAAATTAATTATGGGTATATCAACAATGTTTTAAAATGCTTATAAAAGCAATATATTTTTTTTAGATTTTTTCGAAAAGATTGCAGGTTGAGGATCTAAAAAAAATTAATAATAAAAAAAAAATGAATTAATTTACCTCCCTTACATATTCTTAACGTAAATTGAGTATAACAGAGTGCGTTTCATGCGCATTTACTAAAAAAATTCACAACTATCAATTACATTATTTTTTTGCCTTAGCAATTCACTCCCGAAGTTGATTTTAGATGAGATTGAAAGTACTTGGGAGAATAAAAGAAATAACCAAAACTATGATGTCTTTCTTACTCATTTTTGAAACAGCACTAAGAAACTGATCCGTGAATATGAGAGGATTCAAAAATAGACATAATATGTCTAGATTATTCAACCAAACATGCTTGTATATATATATATATATATATATATATATATATATATATATATATATATATATATATATACACACACATATATATATATATATATATATATATATATATATATCTGTAGAGGGACAATTTATCTTAGCCAACGCGTTTCGTCCTCCGATGGACTTTATCAAAGCAAATATAAGGATTTTAGTTTGCAACATTTTTATTTTGCAACAATTTTATAAACAAAAGTAAAAATGTTGTTAGTTTTTCAAAATTTTAAATACAAAATAAAATTTTTACATGCTCTAGAAATTTCAGTTGTCTCTTGATGTTTTTGTTTAACAAAAAAAAAAAATTAAAAATTTGGAAAGTATTTTAACAGTGTCCACTGTTAAAATACTTTCCAAATTTTTAAATTGTTGTACTTCACTGAATTTGGTATCTCCAATTTAGGTGTATTCAATATAAATAACCTTTCTTTCGAAGTACGTTATTTTCTGACTTTGATGATTTGAATTTTTTTCTGTGTGTTTAGAAAAATATATATATATATATATATATATATATATACTAAGTTTTAAACTATGAGCATTTTTATTCAATAAAAGCCTCTTTTTTTAAAAAAAATACGTTGTCTTTAGAATAAGCGTGCGTTTTATACACCAGTGCATCAGCTAGGCATACCGTATGGTGGGCACAAGTACAGTGAATGAGTATGGGCTTGTTCACTTTTAATAATTAAGTCGTGAAAAGCTAGATTTAAAAAATGCTAATACTTTAAAAATATACTCGTTTTGAAGACCTTGTTAGTGGGATTTGTTCACTGTTAGATGAACCTCGTTATTGTAACCTCGTTCCAGATTAACGTTGACGGCCGGGGCGGCTTCTTTTTCTTCTAGCCAGCGCAATAATCTGTAAGCTAGTTACGCAGATCATTATTGTTAGCGAATTCGCTGACAATTGCATACCTGATCACTCGCCGTAGTGATGGTAAACAAATTAATGTAGGAAGTTTCTTTTTCGTTGGGTGTCTCCCGAGTAAAACATTCATTTACATAAAACTTAACAAATAGTTTGCAAATCCGTTATCGTTCTTAGACAAGGTATCTCTGTTCACAAATATCAATGTAGGCTTTACAGAATATTATGATCTTTTCATAGTGAATTTTAAGGGGGAGAAACACAAGAGTATTTGAATAAATAGTTCAGGTGTTCTTGACCTTAACCTCGTAACAGTTTATATATATATATATATATATATGTATATAGATAGATAGATAATAGATAGATAGATAGATAGATAGATAGATAGATAGATAGATATGAAAAGGTGATAGATAGTAGATAGATATGAAAAAGGAGATAGATAGATAGATAGATAGATATGAAAAGGTGATAGTAGATAGATATAAAAAAGGAAATAGATAGATAGATAGATATGAAAAGGTGATAGATAGTAGATAGATATGAAAAAGGAGATAGATAGATAGATAGATAGATAGATAGATAGATAGATAGATAGATAGATATGAAAAGGTGATAGATAGTAGATAGATATGAAAAAGGATATAGATAGATATTGTATAATAAAAACAAACAAGAACGTTATAAGAACAGTGCTCAATGCAAAATATAAAAAGTATGCAAAAAGATTCAATACAATAAATGTAAGAAAAATATTCAGTTATTATTGTCTTTCCGCGACATAAACTTTCAGAAGAAAATTTATAAGGAATTTAGAATCTCGTCTCTTGAACTGCTTGAAGATTGTGAACAACCGCATAATTATCAAGGTGTCCGCATGAAACTTGAAGTCGCAGAAAAGCAGTAATACATGAGTATTGTTTTCCTTATATTATAGATAAAAATATAGATTATATTTATATATATATATATATATATATATATATAAATATAAATATATATATATAAATATATATATATATAATTATATATATATATATATATATATATATATATATATATATATATATATATATTTAGGTGAAATATATTTATGGGATAAAGTGCTCAATATCAGAGACAGAACGTATGTAAAATATATATATAAAGTGAATATTGAAGTCAACACTCAGAGGCGACGGGCTGTTTCATGCTAGACGCAATCGTCAGGCGGCCTGACAATTGCGTCTCGCATGAAACAGCCCGTCGCCTCAGAGTTTTGACTTCAATGTTCATTTATATATATATATATATATATATATATATATATATGAAATGGACAAAGTCCGACAATTATTTTAATATATTTTCTGTTTATACGTTATTTTTATAGATACACTTATTTATGTAAATGCTCTGTTTATAATAAACAGTGTTAATTACATTTAGCGGCCTGGTATCTGAACAGAAAATATATTAAAATGAAATCTTGTAAGTGATGAACTGCTTTCGTTTAAATTTTAATATAAAATCCTTTCTATAAATATTTTCATGGTAATTTTTCTGAAAACCTTTCCTCTATGGTATCTAAACTTTAAGAATTTAAGTGCAGTACTAGATTGGCGACAGGGTCTCATCATTTTACAGTTGAAATGGATATATGTTACTGCAAGTCCTATGCTAACAGTCAAGTTTGATCTTGAAAAATTTATTTTTATATTTTTTCTTTTTTTTTCTCATATTCTCTCACAGTTACTCCTTTTGTCTTAGTCGTTTTGCTTGAGGTGAATTGATAAAAAAAAAACTGAAAACGTGCGAATACCGCCATTACTGTCTGAATGATTGGATTTCTCTGTATCCTTGGAAACAGGAAATTATGAATTTATATGTGCGTTTAAAACTCAGTAAATTTAAAAATAAGTTATTCCAAAATTCGCTTGAAGATGAAACAGAACTAATGCTTTTAATCTAATTATATAACTAAATTTGAAGTTTTTAGCTTCATATTTTGAAACATGGTTATTACTGTGTAGCGAAGAAACTATATTTTAAATCAGTTAACTTATAATATTTATCTATATTTCTGAGATGAGGTATTATGTATATTATTTACATTATTCAGACTATTGTCCTCATCTTTGTCGCCATATTTATCACAACGTTTCGGCCGTTGTACGCTCCGGCCTTCTTCAGGTGGTTGGAATTTCGAACTGAACCCTTTACTTCGCTCACTGGGGTAGGATGTTCTAGTTCCACGTGCCATGTTTGATGGATGTCAGTTATTAGTTATCTCTTGCTAATTTCCCTCTGAAAGTTCTCCATTGCCTTAACCGGATATTGAACTCACACTCACTCACATCGTCCATTGCTTACAACACCGAGCAAAAGTCATAAGTTTCGACCCAGAGACGTTAGATAAAGAATTGGTCAGTATAAGTAGTACCCTACAACGTAACAACTACCCTGGGTACATGGCAGCAGCCCCCAAAACTGGGAGAGGCGGGTACAAGAGGAGGAGGCCAACAACACTCAGAAAACAGTCTGCCTGCCTTATGTGAAGGGGTTATCAGAGAACATACAAAGGATCTGCGGTCCATATAACATCAGGACAACCTTCAAAAGCTTGACGACACTTCGCAGATATCTCTCCCGAGTGAGACCCACCCATAGAGGAGAACATGATTAAAGACTGTGTGTACGCTATCCCGTGCAGCTGCGGAAAGGAATATAAAGGAGAGACAGACCGTCCCCTCAAGGTAAGGCTTCAAGAACACCAGAAAGCTGTAACGGGAGGGGAAGTAGAAAAATCAGGCATGGCTGACCACATATGGAGAGAGAAGGGAGATCACCGCCCTCTGTAGGATCATGTTGAGATCATAGACAAGGAACAGCATTGGAAAATTCGTAAACTTAAGGAATCAGCACATATGCTAGGCCACAAAACTCTCCTGAGCCGACCAAGCATAGAAATAAATACAATATGGGAACCAGTAATAAGGAGTGCCAGAGAAAAGCAATGATGACAAAGTTGCAATATGAACTCTGGTAAAAACATGCAATGATAACAGCAAAAATTACAATATAAGCACTGGTAAAAATGGTTGCTGAAGACATTAGGTCTATAATGCCCAGAAATTCATACCCAGATGTCCTCAAGGACACATGACACAGTGGATAAAGGCGTTGGTTAGATCCAGTGACAGACCCAAAGAGTGTGCGTTCAATACCCGGCAGTGGAGAACTTTCAGAGGGAAATTAGCAGGAGATAACATCCATCAAACATGGCACGTGGAACTAGAACAGCCTATCCCAGTGAGCGAAATAAAGGGTTCAGTTCGAAATTCCAACCACCCGAAGAAGGTCGGAGCGTACAACGGCCGAAACGTTGTGATAAATATGGCGACAAAGATGAAGACATTAGTCTGAATAATGTAAATAATGTTATAATATTTATGCTCTGTAAATTTACATTGAGCACTGTTTTGAAAAAATAAAGATAAAACGTATCAATAAGAACACCGGATTATATATCTTACTGTTCTTTCTTTATTTATATATATATATATATATATATATATATATATATATATATATATATATATATATATATATATAAGTCCCTTTTACCTTTTATGGAAAATTTTTCAAAAACGGAAAGTGACGTAGTGTTTCATTAATTGCAATTTTGAATAAAATCGTTTAGTACCATCATTGTTAGCCATCTGAAGAAACGTTTGATTTTGACGTTGAAACAAAATGTACAGTTTTGTAGTGAATATTTAAATGTTCTAATGTAACAGTGTATAATAAATATTTATTGCTCTACTTTTGCATTGAGCCCTGTTTTAAATTAATGTTTTGAACGTTGAAATTTTATCATTTGTTCTTTTACATTTGTACATATATATATATATATATATATATATATATGTGCGTGTGTGTGTGTGTGTGCGCGCGCGCGTGCGTGCATGTCTGTGTGATGATACAATATGGAAAATCTATATACGTTCGAAAGACGTTTGCTTTAAGGCAGTGGTTCCCAACCGATTTTGGGCCATGCCCCACTTTGGTATTTCTAAAATTCTGGTGCCCCCTGTAATATTTAATTCTTACATGAAGGAAGCTTAAAAGGCCATTAACTTGGTTTCCAAACAAGCCTCCAAAGACTATGGCCTCATGAAAGAGAAAAATTACAAAAACAAAAAGACAGTTAAATATATAGAGTTTCAAAACATATAATGGAGAAATGAAAAGCAGAAATATAAAATATTTGAATGAAAGCTTATTCTGTAATATACTTTGATCATTTGAATCATGAAATAATAATGCAAAATGAAATTTGAGCTCTCGCTGGTATTGTAAACCGAAGGTGCACAATCTATGCATGACCCATCAAAATATTACCATACCCCACTGCTAGGGTATGCGCACCATATTGGGAATCGTTGCTTCAAAGGGACCTTTATACTCACAAACAAGTCTAAGATGGTAAAAGTGGAGCCGGCAGTGTCCATTTCATGCACGTACCAATCAGACTCACGGAGAAGAAAGAACCCATACGGTCAAAATCTGGCCAAGATCAGAATAGCCGTAAATTTGGGAGCTACTTATATATATATATATATATATATATATTTTCCACACTGAAGTTAACGTCTGATAGATGTAATACACACTTTTTAAGAAATAAAAATAGGCCAGCTGTTTCAAATACAGAATACCCACTATTATAACGTTTGAAATAATAAAAATGCCGGATGAAAATAAACCCTGTATTACTTTATATATAAATATATAAACAAAGAAAAAAAATCACACGGTTAAGAAGTTGGTAAACCAGCGAGTGTTATATTATCGAGAAACGATAAATTACGATAAAGAAATTTTGTTTGAAAGCTCTCTTGCTATTTGCTTGAATAGCAAAATGCTGTCAGATTGTGTTAGGATAGCCGTCAAGTTAGTAAGCTAACACCGTTTCTACATTTCTTTACTTCTCTGTCACTCCTGTCGGTCATTTGTTCAATACGAGGACACTCCCATTTCTCTCTATCGTCTGTGCGCTCACAGCAGTTGGGGATTCGACACAATAAGACAGGTAACAGGAAGTCAAGAGAGGAGATTTCATTATTCTTGCCTTTAATGTAACACACACACACAACACCTAAAAACACTCGCATACACACACATACAAACAATAAGTACCCGTCCCTAAAATTTGTAAATATATATGATACGTAAGGACTTCTACGTCGCAGGTGAAAGAAAAAAAACAAAAACAAAAAAAAAACACTACGCGGAGCCTCCAGATTTACAAAAATAGGGTGATATACTATAAACATAAAGGTACTGTTTTGTTTTCGTTTGCCTTCTTCATTTTTTTTGCCAAATGATTAAATTTGAAGTCATGAACGAGAGCTAGACTGAGTTGTTAGATCGACTTTAAAACTGTAAGCTTCACAGTTGTGGCTATGTCAGAACTTGTCGCAGGTAATGATTTATAAGTCTAGAATTACTAATAGATGAATAATGATTAGCTATCAGTGTAGTGTGTTCGACGCTCACTAAAAGTAGTTTTTTTTTTAGTCAGACTAATCTAAACTTAAAAAAAAAAAATGCCTGTACTCACTAAATTACAGGGCTACCCCGATAGGACTTCTTGTTAACACCAAACTGTCAGTGGCTGATTTAGGGGAAAGATACGCTTAACCATGTAAGC